AATAGGTTCTAGGGGACATTTTTTAACGGGCGTTTATTTAAACAGTAATTTTACTGAATAAATTGGTCAATATATAGTTAAAAACAACTTTTAAATAAAACATGACAAACAAATTTTGGAGCAGATTTATGGCAATGGCGGCGCCAGAATTTTGACGACAAGGGGGTAGGGTTCACAGGGGAGTTTTTATGGCTTATTGTGGTCCAAAATGTGCTTTTAGACCTCAATATTAGGGATTGGTAATCAAAACAACGTTATTTTGATAGGCAACTTTTTGATCGAAGTCGTAGGCCTAGTGGTTTTTGGGATGCACGCCTCATATTATCATATCCTCACCCACATCCATCTTTCTATACTATCTTGGTTGACCCCCCTCCCCCTGGGAATAGGTCAGGCCCAGGTCGAGGGTGTAGAATCAGATATTATTTCAGGGTTTCACGCACATGGCTCACAAAATCCGGGCTCGTCACCAGGTGTGGAAAGTCATCATCTAATAACTTAATGAACTTAACTAAATATTGTTTAGTTAATTCAGCAGTTTTAATGTATAATATTATTTTATGTCTGTCTCTTATACACATCTAGATGTGTATAAGAGACAGTTATTGTTCCACAGTTCTTGTTTCTTACTGAATTTTATCATAAAATGTTAGCATTTCATTTAAATATCTAATTTGTAGTTTTAACGTTTAGTACTGTACACGGTACATAAGGACGCAATATGGAAAGCTGCTCTCTGATAGTGTAGTGCTTGCACTCATGGTAATCCTCAGGATATTGTATTCTCATTGTTATATTTTTGTTGGATTGTTACCTGGAAATTGAATAAAATAAAAATAAATAAAATATTGACAATTTCTTCACTTAAGAGATAATATTACAATTTTATATGTCTGCAAATTTTTTTTTTTTTTAATATTTTCAAAAATTTATTATTAATAACAAACATTCAAATACTCATTCAGAATGACACTTCAAAATACTGTATCCCAATTTGATTTGACCGAACTTGAAATAGTCTTCCTGCAGACCTTTGGAAATTTTTTTCGTTTTTCTCACATCTTTTTTGTTTAAAAGTAAAATAAGAAATTGATTTAAAAATTTAAAATCCCCTAAATGTCATTTAATAAATTAATTATAACAACATAAAGTTAATTACTGTAATAATAATTTATTATAATCACATACAATAATAATACTGTATTTGCGTAATTTATGCATTCTTTTTGTTGTAATTAATTTTGATAATTTTTTTCTATTATCCATATCTTATATTTTGTAATGGTGACAGTGGCTCTGTCACTTAATTGGTTATTCCTTGGCACTAATTTGAGTTTATTGTTATTTTCCCTTGCAATTTGTTCTGTATTTTGTTTTACTTTTTCGGTAAAGTACTTTTGTACTTTTTTTGATTGCAAGAAAGAATAAAATAAATAATTTCATTTTCTGTCATCACAATAATATTGAGTCTTGAGCTGTGTTCTCCAGAAAAAGCGATGCTGATCAAGATCAAATCTCAAGCTGTGTCTACACTATCAAAATTTTATGTGACAAATAAATGTCACATGCCCATATTTGGATGTAATATGACATCATCATGCCCATATATGGACACATCACAATTGTCACATAAATTTTGATAGACAGAGCTTTAACAGATAAGGATCCATTGTTCATTGCACAAAAACTCACTCACCAAATTCTAATAAAGAGTAGACTTAAATATAAACAACGAGGGTACTGTTGATTGATCGGGAATGGTAAAACCTTCTTATGCAGTACCTTGTTTCGCAAGCCAACTACCACTAACATTTTTTTTTTAATTTGCCAATAAGACAAAACCATTACCTTAGCAAACCTGCCGCCCGCCCATTATGATGATTTTGAATAAAATTAAATTTTTTTTCCAGCCAAATTAACGCACCTAATTTGCCAAAAAATGTAAAAATATGGAAATTCCAGAAAAAATTATTTTTTATTACACCCGCCGCTGCCTTAAAATTTCTAAAAATAAGATATGTATATTTCTTCAGTTATATAATGTAAAGCATTTAATAATGGAGGAATTCCTCCATGATTTAACCATCCCATTATTATACTGTTTACATTCGCCAATGCAATTTTATTTTTATTTTTTCATTTGGATCTTTTTGGCCAAACAAATTGGCTAAATAAGAAAACAAAATTCTATTTCATATTTCCGCTCTTCTCTATATTGATCTTTAAAGAAAATAGTTTTGCAAAACAAGCTGTAAAAAAGTATATATATATATATATTTATTTTTTCTCTGCTTAAATGTATTCAGCATAACATTTTGTCTTCCTCTGAAAATTGCTAATTGTTACAAGACTTTTTTTTCAAGGAAGCGGGGTCCTTATATATCGGTGCACGTGGAGCCCAGGTTCAATAAACATGTTGTAATTATGCCACTGGCTATCAGTCTGTTGTTTAAAATTTGTTCAGCAGCATTGGCTCAAGAAATTTTTCACAGGGGATCCAACATGTCCGATAAAGGGAACAAACCAAGAGGGCGACTAAAGCCTCAGTCGTAATTTTTCTAATAATTTAATTTTGATGTCTTTTAAATTGAAACTATATTTATCTAAAACGTAATGTTTGTCCATTCCAGTTTTCTTTTGAATGTTATTGTTCTTTTTTTATACATTTAACCATTCTATATATCATCGCAATTTAGCTTTTCCACAAAAATGTACTTTAGGCCTAATGTGAATTTTTATTGAACCGTTTACTGTCAGGTAAATTCCCTGGTAGTGGGAGGGGGAGAGTCTTCAAGGCTTAGTGCAGTACAGCTCATAATCGTGTTCACATGGTACTGTACATGCAAATAAATAACACTTGACATGAATTTCTTAAATCATGTTTATTTTGAATATTCAAGTAAAAGAAAAAATTATTTTATAGTTGTTCAAACTTCAAAATAGCAAACAAAAAATATTAAATTGTGAGTATGACTATAGTTAACAAATCTGCTTCAATATTTAATTGCTTCTAGTTTACTAAAATCACATATGGTTAAACAATTTACAAAATGCCCAAAAAAATTTGTAAATTAAAGCCAATGGCTATTGTTACACTACATCTGATTAGAGATTGGAGGTTATTTTGTGTATAGATTGATTAGGGGCAATTTGACGAGTTGATTGGCCGAGCGGTTAAGTCAGGGGCACCGTGACTTTTAGCTCTAATATCGGCGTTGGTTCGAACGGCTCACTCGCCAATGGTTCCGGTGGTGGAACAAGTCTTCTCGGATAAGGACTTTAAACTGTAGGCCCAGTGTACGCATTTGGCTCGTGTGCACTTTAAAGAACCCGGTACATCATTCGAGAAGAGTAGGGGGTTACCCCGGTATACTGGTCCATTAAGTCCCCTGTTGTTAAATGGATATGCCACGTAGGACAGTGATTAAGTTCACTTATTGGCATATCCTTGGCCCTCGTGCCTAAAGAAATGAAATGAAATAACATCCAATCAGAATTACGCCTTTGTTTAGACTGGTGTGAAAATAGCCACTGCCTATAAATTATATAATTTTCTCAGGTTGCATTTGTGCATAAATTACTAAAAAATCCAAGAGTATATACTTCTGCTAAGTGGAAACAGATTTTGAGAGTAGTGGCAGTCATGATGAGAGTGGAATGAGGGCGCCATCTATGGTTTGGTACACATCTATAATTTAACAAAGAGGTACACAATTGCTTTAACCAGAGAAAATCCACAGTATAATCATTATTTTTAAAAACAAACTACAGCTGTATTAATGTAACTTGCAAAGTACAGTACAGTATATCACTATCAGTGGAATGTTACATAATATAACTGATGGGTCTATTCATGTTCACAGAGGTATACAGTTGCTTTAATTATAAAATAATCAACAGAAGTTCATCAGAAGTATATTCACTATAAACTACACATGTAATGTAACTTGCAAATTGTATTTATTTACTGTACAGTTTATACATATGCCATATCCTTTTTTCCATATTTATACGGATTACTTTTTGCTTTCCTTGTTATATTTTGGATGTTTGTATATATTATTTTTTTTGTATCTGTACGTATTGACTTGGTTCCACCCAAACAGAATTTCTGTATTGTGGACAATAAAATAATCTTGAATCTTGAAGTTATATTACTATCAGTGGAATGTGTTACATAATAAACAATGTATATTAAAATTATAAAACTGATGGGCCTCTTAGGGTTACTTCTAGACTTCCACACAGTAAAACCACTATTAACACATTTGGTGCCAAAAAAAGGTCTTATTAATAGAGTTGTTCCCTGAATAGGGGTACCTCTATTCAGGAGACACTACCTAAGATATGATATTGTCGTCTTTAGGATTTTCGTATCTATGGTTTGGTACACAATAATAATTTAAAACAAATAAAATTGCTTTAACAGAAAATAATCTACAGTAGTTGATAAAAAATATTAATCATTAATTATTCTTAAAATATATAATACAGATGAAATTTTTAACTAGCAAAGTACTGTATATATCACTATCAGTGGAATGTTACATAATGAAAAACTTATATAATTATAAAACTGATGAGCCTCTGAGTGTTACTGCCAGATTAAGTACCTTACAGAATAACCACCAAACTGAAAATGATGATAAATTTATTTGTCATGATTTCAAAATAATTCATTCATGTAAATTGCTTTCCTTGGCAGGACAAAAACATCAAGAATATAAATGTTAAAGTCAAAATTTAAAACTCAAAAATATAAAAATAAGCAAAAATATATATCAACAATATACAGTATTGAGAGTACATAAAACAACCAAAAGATGAAGACACTGTACAAACTTGCTAAAATCCAAACTTATCATTGCCCAATTAAAATTCATTAAATATTAATAACATAATTATAATTACCGTATTGTTAACTGTAAGAAAATAATCACTCCAAATAAAAGGGATAATAGGCTTATGCAATACTATGATTATTTCTGCCAATAATTTACCATCAACATCTGAAAGGTTGTTGCCCTGCAGATTGAGCATGTTGACATCCAACACTGCATTCATAACACTACATTCCACAAACATTTCATTAACAATCCTGCCAGATAAACTGCAGTAACTCATGTCAATATGGATCAGGTTTGGAGAGATCTTAACAAGGCAAGCTAATATAATTACCTTATTGTTCATAAATATTCAATCATTAAACAGTCAAGATATTATATATAATATACAGACTATCAACAATATAAATTTAACTGACTCAAAAACGATATTTACAATACAATTACTGTTTAACTATTTTGTGTTAATAATCTTAGCTGTAAATATAATATAGAGTACTACAGTGTTACGTCACGATACCATGTGACACTACTCTGTTGCTATCGTTGCAAAAAGCGTTCAACCGGATGCCATTTTCTTCACTGACACACCATTGATTCCAATTTATAACATAATTAGTAAGATGTTTTTTTCTTTGTAAATTTTAATTGATGAGTGTGTTTGATACCTAATATAATGCAAGCATTTGTGTTTCTAGTACATTTTGATGGCAAAATATTAGATTTTAAAATGCCTATTCCAGAAAGCCTATGAAGCCATTAAGGTGTAATGAACAGTAACCAACATCTGTTGAGAGCGGCGCCTGGCTTCGTGATGACACGACTGTGGTACTCTATATTATGACAAAAGCCTTAACATGAATGTTTTTATAACAGTACTGCTATTGCTTCATGTTATTTTCAACTACTGTACTGAACTTTCTATTTGATGCCTAATGAAAGCATGAATAGAGTATTAAAAAAATAGTAATAATTCTTTATTTGTCGTCAAATACAATAAACAATGTAGAAATAATAATAATAATAATAATAATTCTTCATTTCTCTCCAAATGTAATAAACAATGCAGAATAATATTAATAACATAACAGTAATAATAATAATAATAATAATAATAATAATAATAATAATTGTCTCCAAATGTAATAAACAATGTATAAATTTGGGCTTTGTCCAAGGGGACCTGTGTCAGCCACAATGCAGCACTACTTGACTTCAACATACAACAGGTGTACATGGTCCTTAAACTCACCTAAATCTTTTGAAAGAGTTATTCAATGAGCTGAGCACGTGTAAAACACCCAAATTCAATACACAGTGTACCAATGTAGGTCTTGATGGAAAAATAATTGTTCTGGATTTTTCGGTATATAAACTCATATATTTTTGTGTCTAGCATTGATGATGAATTTCCGTAGTGCCCTTGTTTATTTCAATAATACGTCCATAATTAGGCACAATTTCTGTAGGTACTGTACTACTGATGTTTCACAGAACTTGAGAATTTTGTAATATGTAGTTACACTATTTTTATTTTACATGTAGAGATTCCAAGATGACTGACTGACATTAGGATAATCTGAACTCTGCAAGTGATTTACCATAAATATCTGAAAGGTCATTGCCCTTTAGACTAAGCATGTTGTCTTTCAATACTACATTCATCCTACAACATTCTTCCATCATTTCATTAACAATCCTGCCTGATAAACTGCAGTTACTCATGTCAATATGGTTCAGGTCTGGGGAGATTTTAAACAGGTGAGCTAATATTTTACCACTGATTGAAGACAGGTTAATCCCACTCAAATTTATCATTACCCAATTAAATGTTATATTTTCACCTACAGATTCAACCAGCATTTCTAGGTTACCAGCTGTAAGAGAATAATCACTCCAACTGAAAGTTTCATAATGCAGACAAATTACCCTGACTAACTCTGCAAGTGATTTACCATCAATATCTGAAAGGTCATTGCCCTTTAGACTAAGCATGTTGTCTTTCAATACTACATTCATCCTACAACATTCTTTCATCATTTCATTAACAATGCTGCCTGATAAACTGCAGTTACTCATGTCAATATCTTTCAGCACTGGGCAGATCTTAAATAGACTAGCTAATGTTTTACCACTTATTGAAGACAGGTTAATCCCACTCAAATGTATACTATCCCAATTCAATATTATATTTTCACCTACAGATTCAACCAGCATTTCTAGGTTACCAGCTGTAAGAGAATAATCACTCCAACTGAAAATACCATCCTCATAATAAAACTTTCCAACTACCCTGACTAACTCTGCAAGTGATTTACCATCAATATCTGAAAGGTCATTGCCCTTTAGACTAAGCATGTTGTCGTTGAATACTACATTCATCCTACAACATTCTTCAATCATTTCATTAACAATCCTGCCTGATAAACTGCAATAACTCATGTCAATATGCTTCAGGTCTGGGCAGATTTTAAATAGGCGAGCTAATGTTATTCCACTTATTGAAGACAGGTTAATCCTATTCAGATTTATCCTATACCAATGCAATGTTATATTTTCACCTACTGATTCAACAAGCTTTTCTATGTTATCAAAAGTAAGAGAATAATCACTCAGAATGAAAATTGTATCATCATCATAACCATCATAATCATCATAATAATCACCAAATTCATAATGACAATCTACCCTGACTAAATCAGCAACTGATGTATCATCACTATCTGAAAGGTCTTTGTCCTCCAGTACAAACCTGTAGTGTTTCAAAACATGGTCTACTGTATCTTCACTGTTCTGGCATTCTCTGATCATTGCCCTCAAAGTACCACCTGATAGCCTACACTTTCTTAAATTTAGATATTTTAATTTAGGAGCTATTTTAAATAATTTTCCCAGTAATGTTCCATCAATATCATTTAGATCATTGCCACTAATATCAAGTTTTTTTAATTCTAACTTTATATTGACATTGTCTAAATCATTAATAACTGCAGTGTGTATAGCACCTGTGACCAATGTGTGACTATTGCATACTGTATCTTCACTGTTCTGGCATTCTGTGATCATTGCCCTCAAAATACCACTTGATAGCCTACACTCGCTTACATCTAGATATTCTAATTCAGGAGCTATTTTAAATAATTTTTCCAGTAATGTTCCATCAATATCATTTAGATCATTGCCACAAATATCAAGTCTTTGTAATTTTAACTTTATATTGGCATTCATCCTACAACATTCTTCTACCATTTCATTAACAATGCTGAGTGATAAACTGCAGTAACTCATGTCAATATGGTCCAGCACTGGGCAGATCTTAAATAGGCGAGCTAATGTTATTCCACTTATTGAAGACAGGTTAATCCTACTCAGATCTATACTTTCCCAATCCAATGTTATATTTTCACCTACTGATTCAACAAGCTTTTCTATGTTATCAAAAGTAAGAGAATAATCACACAGAATGAAAATTGTATCATCATAATCATCATCACCAAATTTATAATGACAATGTACCCTGACTAAATCAGCAACTGATGTACCATCAATATCTGAAAGGCCATTGCCCTTTAGTACAAGCCTGTAGCGTTTCAAAACATGGTCTACTGTATCTTCACTGTTCTGGCATTCTGTGATCATTGCACTCAAAGTACCACCTGATAGCTTACACTTGCTTACATCTAGACATTTTAATTTAGGAGCTAATTTAAATAATTTTCCCAGTAATGTTCCATCAATATCATTTAGATCATTGCCACTAATATCAAGTTTTTCTAATTCTAACTTTATATTGGCATTGTCCAAATCATTAATAACTGCATTGTGTATAGCACCTGTGACCAACTTGTGACTATTGCATACTGTATCTTCACTGTTCTGGCATTCTGTGATCATTGCCCCCAAAGTACCACCTGATAGCCTACACTCCCATACTGCTAGACATTTTAATTTAGGAGCTATTTTAAATAATTTTCCCAGTAATGTTCCATCAATATCATTTAGATCATTGCCACTAATATAAAGTGTTTCTAATCCCAACTTTATATTGGCATTGTCCAAATCATTAATAACTGCATTGTGTATAGCACCTGTGACCAACTTGTGACTATTGCATACTGTATCTTCACTGTTCTGGCATTCTGTGATCATTGCCCCCAAAGTACAACCTGATAGCCTACACTCACTTACATATAGACATTTTAATTTAGGAGCTATTTTAAATAATTTTCCCAGTAATGTTCCATCAATATCATTTAGATCAATGCCATGAATATCAAGTGTTTCTAATTCTAACTTTATATTGGCATTGTCCAAATCATTAATAACTGCATTGAGTATAGTACCTGTGACCAATCTGTGACTAGCATATTGGATATTGTGACTCCATAATTGCAAGCTCTCTAAGTTACTTGCATATTTAAGGAAATGAATTAAGAATGCTGAACTCAGTTGAAAATCAAAGCTAATGAAAGTCAAATTATATATAAAATGATTTTTTTTCATCTCAACTGAAAGTAAATTGATTTCTTCTTTTTCCCATTTTGAAATACAATTAAGTAGAAGGTCTGGTGTCCAATACTGTTTCATTACTTGTAATAACACTAAGGTATGTACAACAAGTTGGCACCGCCTTTCCCTGCACCTATTCATAAAAGATATTGCTGCTGCTTCAATACTGTAAGGACGATATTCAATGCTACATCTTTTCATGAGTTTGAATAAATGCATACTTGATATGTCTCTGCCATCATTTATAAGACTTCTAAATGACTCCAACATTTGTTCACTATGTGCTTTCATATCGTTGGACATGAGCTTATCCAATTTCACTAAAATATCATCTTCATTCTCTTTCTTTACATGTTTTAAACATTGTACTATTGAGCAATAATTTGAGGCCCTGATTATTAACCATGGTTTCAGCAACTTATCAGCATCAGCACCTAAAAATCCTATTGCAAACATCCTCGTCATATTTAAATATTCATTACATCTGATTTCCTCATACTCAACCTTTGAACTCCCTTTCTGAATTTCTGTAGACAGGTACAGCCCTGCTAGTGCTTCTGAAATTAATTTATGTGGGGGTGTGTACATCTCCTCTTTCCCTGGATTAGCAGGGGTATCATTATAAACAAACCCAAGTTCCAGTGCTGAGTTTAGTAATTCTTTATCCTTTGCCATATTTGACAAAACATATTTGTCAATAGACAGTATATTTTCCTTTAGTCCTTCATACATACACTCTCCTAAAATTAAAATGGCAGATATGTATTGATCTGGAATTCTCTTAAAATTGTTAATAACCGATTTTTTGCCAGCTCTGTTTAGATATTGATTTAAAATACAACAAATGACTTCCTTAAAAAGATCGGTCAAGTATGTGGGAAGAACACGTTTTTGTTCCCATACGGTACAAATGTGAAGCAATAACAGTGGAGAGGAGCACAATTCAAATGCTTCTTTGTGATTACCACCCCAATTTGTACTCTTTGAATCAAGTCCAAACTCTTTCATTAAAGATTTACCAACTTCGATTTCACTGATTGAACGAAAAAAATTTTGAATATACTTCTTTATGTTACTTTGACTGAATCCCTTCACTTCAATATGTACATCACAGTATTTAATCAAATCAGCTGTGTTGTCAGGTCGAGATGTTATCACTACCATGCTTTTTCGCAATTCTCTTTTTTTAAATAGATCAATTGGGTCTTTAGCATTTCTTTCTAACTCATCATATCCATCTAACAAAAATATTATTTCATCGTCATGTGTGACCAAGAACCTTTCAACTGGGTTAAATGAGTCACATGACAAATTGTTCCTATAAATTATTTCTTTTGAATCAATTTCATCCATAATTAACTCCAAGAATGATTTACCTTCTTTAATTTCCCTGATATTTATCAGAAACAGTAATTTATCAGCAAGGACATGTTCATCATCAGTAGCCCACTGATAAGCAATATATTTAAGGAGGGTAGTCTTACCCATTCCTCCCTCCCCTGTTATTAATACCTTACAAGAATCTGTTGACTTAATAACCTCTAATGCCTCTGTTAATGATGTGGGTCTACCTTCTTTTTTTGTGCATGTTGACTTGTCTTGTATTTCTTTGTCTTCTTTTTTAGATTGCAGTAAGCTGAGTTCAGTAAAAACATCTGCAATATCTAACTCATGAAATTTATGCCAAATTGTTGGTGTCATTCTATTCACATTCCGATACAATTCTTTCTGCCTTGTCATCAGGGAACCTTTGATAATTATATCTGAAATAGTTCAAAAACAAATACCTTTGATAATTATATCTGAAATAGTTCAAAAACAAATACCTTTGATAATTATATCTGAAATAGTTCAAAACAAATAATAATAATATAACCTACATTATTATTACTAACATTATACTTAATATAAACTTTCAAGGAACACTGCATACATTGTATACTATATTAATGTTTCAATCTTCCTATATTCAAAACCAGAGTTAGCTGGTTTTGTGCCAATCTAGACCATTTTAGGTAGGCTTTCTTCTTAAAGGTTCCTATGAATGGATGACTTGTTGTGGAGCAGGAAATCAAGTTGTCCCACCCCAGTACCGCCTGATTATAAATCAATGGGAAATTAACCGATAGCTATTATTTATATAATTAAGTTCCTGTTACACTTCTACCTTACATCATTCAGTTCAATGACTTCAATACCATTTTCTGATACAAATCCAGAATTTTCATCTAGATGAATAAACGAACAAGTTATTCAATTGGGAAAGAGGGTGGGGTGAGGGAATCCTACCTGAGGTCTCTATTCTTTTTAAATTAAAAAGTTAAGGAAAAAAAATATTTATTAAAATTAAAGTCTGAGATTGCCATTTCAGGCTAACTATATGTGCCATAAAATGTTGTGTCTCTGCTCCCAACCATGATGGGGCTAAGGTGGTGTAGACCCTCCTTTAACTGTCCATCCCTGAACCTATTCCTAGTATTATCATTTTCATAATGATTGCAAAAACAATTTTGTAGCTCTAATTATTTACTTGTTCTTTCTTTTTCATTACCACCTCCCTAAGCTTTATCATTACTCTCATCATTAATGTCAATACAATAAATATTTAGTTTGATTTTAAATTTCTTTTTAAACCACATACAGCAGCTTAAACTCATAGTAGTGTTCCATGTACATTCAAATACTGGACCAATGCAGCTTCAGGCAAGAGTAGGTTGTGCATCCTAGGATTTAACAATGGGGGGGGGGAGGGGGGGCGTGGATAATGCGAGGTGCGAGAGAACAAGCAGGGGAAGGGGGTGTTGGTGGCGGTATCAAGAACAGTGACATCATGCATGAGTCAGGGTTCTAGGCTAGAAGGAAAATATTAGCCCTATACAAGCCTGTTGTAATTCTGAGTAAAGTGAGCAACCTTGTGCTATAGTAGGGCTAGGGTATACTTGGCCCTAGTCAGAGGTCCAGAAATGGATATGGGAGATGAAGAAGAGGAAGCCCACTTGTGATCTGGTGATCTGGGTATTTTTGAATTGCAAATTTTGTTGGATCACCTATGTTAAGAATTCCCATTGTTGACTGGGAACACAATTTTCTTTTAATTAGAAATATGCTTACAGACACCTGCTGCTTTGGGCCCCGCTGTCCACTGCCTCCCACTCAAATTATGATGCAACTGAAGATCAAATATTGTATAATTTTAATGATTTAAACATTCAGTTGCAATATTTTAATTTGATTGATAGGCTAATGCCAATTTTGATATTCAATTTTGAATTAATTTATACACTTGTCATCTACTGTACATTTGTAACAGTACCGGTATTGTGAAGCGTGCAACTTAACTACTTTCCAGTGTGTAATATGTAACTACTCTATAACTTGTCTATGAATAATTTAGTTCTTGTTAGAATGTACTTAAAATTTCAATATAATCTGCTATTAAATAAATACACCTTCATCTGCCCTTGACCTTTGTGGTTGTACTGATTGTTCTGACTTGTCTGTAAAGAAAATGTATCATTGGGCATTATGAGCAAAACATTAGTGTGAGATATATTCATTTTGAGTTCAATTATTTTTTATAATCCATATTTTTGTTATGGTTTTTTAAACAGTGACGCCTAAAAATATAAACTTTTGATTTTTAGATTAAATTATGATATTAATTTGGATGTTTCAAATGATCAATATAGTGGGTTTAATTGATAGGAACTATTTATAAAGATATTGTTTACTTTATCAATAATTATAATCACCCAGATATCATCACCTTCCCCCTACCCCACACTGATGTCCAAGCTTGCATAGTAGAGAAACAAGCAAGCCTATAATAACAGTGATGTATAAAACAAACATTAAATTAAATTACTTTTTGATGTATTATTATTATTATTATTATATATATGCTGATTTCTAGAAATACTTTTTGTAAATAACATACATTATAAAACATTATTTGGAGTAACTCAAAATTGAGTAAATCACAAATACATTTTATCAGATGAATTATACCGACTAATATCCATTCATTGATTATACATTTACATCATTACAGATATTGACTAAAAATAACAAGCAATTATTAAGCAGCCAGTACATACCTTCGTCTAACTTTGGTTGTTTCGATATTGATGCTTCGCCAATACCTATTGAGGAAACAATAATTATGTGCATTAGAATATGTGAGGTTTGTTTACAAAATGGGCCTTGTGGTACGCTAGCTAATTTGATATATTGAAGAAGTGATGTTTTGACAAAATTTGAATTGTTAAAATTGTTTCTGATATGTTTAATATATACTGTACTGTATATTTAATAGCAGCAAAAGTTCTGAATTAATTTAACCAAGGTAATGGTTTTGAGGCATATTTTGAAAAGCTATTTTTCAGAATTGATGGGAAAACCAACACAAAATTGATTAGTTGTTGTTGTTATCTTAAGAGGTGATAGTTTAAGGCATCTCAGCTTAAAAATGATTTTACTCAACCTACTGTAGAAACATAATTCAAAGACCAAAAAAAAAAAAATCTTATATTCGTCTATAAAATGTGCCACAAATTTTTCATTTTTTTATACCAGAAGATTCATTTTGTCATGACAACTCACATATGTACACTTGCATCTGTATTAAACTATTGCATCTGTATTAAACTATGTAAATCAAAATAGAGATGTTTAATTATTAGTCACAAACCTTTGTCAAATCTTCGCATTTTTCTTGGATGTTTAAATTTTCCTGATTTACCTGTAAGAGAGCAAAACAATGGTGTGCAATATATAGTCATTTCCAGCATTTCAAATACCCATAATTTGGCTGTAAATGCTTGATATTAATAATAGTAAAACAGTAAACTTTTTCGTGTATCAAAAGGCAGACGGAAAGCTAAGCTGTACAGCCATCATGCATATAATTCACATTTTTTCCCCTCTCTGAAGTTCAGTATCTTCTTCATCTAGGTCTGTTACAATATTTGCCTACTGTACATGGGCAATTCAATATTATACTAATACCTGTACAACGATAGTAATAACACATAGAACTCGTCTGGAATTGTCCTAATTCTATGCATTACAATAGCCAATCGCTAAGCTTAGATGTAGCACTGTAGCTGGTACGTCATCACAAATTTAGCTTAGAGCGTCTACATAGTGAAAGCTTGCAAGTCTCAATTAAGTTTACATCAAATTGTGCTTGGTTTATTACCAATAAAACAGTACTACAGTCATAGCCAACCAAAAAAAAAATGATTTGAATAATTCTTTGTTTGGTCTTTGTATTTTTTAAATTTGTGCCAGGAATGTATTCTTTACAAATAAATATAAATTGAACTTCAAAATACTTGTGAATAACTTAAATTTATAATAAATATCAGGTGAATTACTGTACTGTATATAGTCTGTCTCTTATACACATCTAGATGTGTATAAGAGACAGCCTTCATCTGCCCTTGACCTTTGTGGTTGTACTGATTGTTCTGACTTGTCTGTAAAATGTATCATTGGGCATTATAAGCAAAACATTAGTGTGAGATCAGTAGACCATATACTCCACTACCTTAACATTATGTAAAGAATATGTGAGGTGTTGTTTACAAAATGAGTCTTGTGGTATGCTAGCTAATTTGTTATATTGAAGAAGTGATGTTTTGACAAAATTTGATTTTTTTTTAATTGTTTCTGATAAGTTTAATATATACTGTATATTTAATAGCAGCAAAAGTTCTGAACTGATTTACCTAAGATAATGGTTTTGAAGCACATTTTGAAAAGCTATTTTTCAGAATTGATAGGAAAACCAACACAAAATTTATTAATGGTAATGGTATTAGTTGTTGTTGTTATCTTAAGAGGTGATGGTTTTAGACATCTCAGCTTAAAAATGGTTTTACTCAACCTACTGTAGAAACATAATTCAAAGACCAAAACAAAATATATCTAATATTCGTCTATAAAATGTGCCACTAATTTTTCATTTTTTGTACCACAAGATTCATTTTGTCATGACAGCTCACATATGTACACTTGCATCTGTATTAAACTATGTAAATCAAAATTGTTGTTTAGATTTTCCTGATTTACCTGTAAGAGAGCAAAACAATGGTGTGCAATATAGTCATTTCCAGCATTTCAAATAACCCTACTTTTGCTTTAAATGCTTGATATTAATAATACTAAAACAGCAAAACTTTCCATGTGTCTACAGGCAGGCGGAAGGCTAAACTGTACAGGCATCATGCATATAATTCATGTTTTTTTCTTCACTCTCTGAAGTTCAGTATCTTCTTTATCTAGCTTTGTTGCTTATTTGCCTACCTGAGCAATTTGATATTATTTATACTAATACAAGGATGGTAATAAAATAAAGAACTCGTCTAGAATTGTCCTAATTCATAATAAATATCAGGAGAACTATGTTATAACCATTATAGATATTCATTCAATATAATAAGCAATTATTCAGCAACCAGTACACTACATACCTTTGTCTAATTTTTGTCTTTTTGTTGTTGATGCTTTTTCATTACCTATTGAGGAAATAGAAATTGACAATTTGTGCATTAGCAGCATAACTAAAATATACATAGCATAATTTTTCCTACTTAGGAGAACAGCTTAGCTGTAAGTTCCAAAAATGGTTAATGTACAAATAAACTGATTGATGTGGGCACCTGAATTCTAGTCAGTTTACATTTATACTGGCCATATATTGGGACTAGCCAATAGTACTATAGAAAACAAAAAACCCTGCTGTAAAGAAGTTTTTGAAATAGCGCAATTTTATTTACATTAAACTTGGTTGTTGGTGACGCTGTCCAGTATGAAAAAAAATTAATAAGGGACTTGGAGCAAGTCTTTATTTTGATGTTTGTTAAAAATTAACTGTTGTTTCAGAAACTAAATATATTTACTTACAAGTATATTGAAAATAATTATTGTTATGTAAAGAAGTAAATAAATCCTCATTAAAGTGATTGAGTGACGCATTATTAGTATTAAATGTTTAGATGTCATCAGTTAGTTGAGTTCTCTAACTTAATGTATATTTGTTGTTAATTATAAGAAATAACAGAAAATATCAAGTACTATAGGTTTCAACCACTTAGAACGGTGTCTCTCGGGCTCCTAACTCCCTAAAATGTCTAGATACTGTAGATTGCAACATTACAGAATTGGTAAGCTGGTATTGGAAATAAAATCATTAAATAATTTTCATACTCACCAACTCTTTTCAAATTCATGAGAAACGATGACAAGTTATCTTCGGAAACAATACCCTCACTTTCGAGAAATGTGATCAGTTTCCATGAATTAGAACAGAAGTCATCTGGAACTTCGTACTTCTGTCTAATCCTTTGAATATCTATGGTAGATAAGTCTTTTCCAAGAGCAATCAGATGTTGACGATGTGCTGAAAATCGAGTGATCTTTACTTCATCTGGATATGTGTCATACGCCTTAATTATGTCCTTCAAATACCTTAATCCAGTTACTTCAATTGTTTCAAATAAAACTGAAATGTCTGTTGCTTTCAAAATGTCGGCGACTCTTAGTATTTGGAATAAATCAAATGCAGATTTAGCTTCCTCCAATTCTGCTTTAAACTCAGCAAGATCTTTGTACAGAACCCTCAACCTGTCTCTTATACACATCTAGATGTGTATAAGAGACAGCCACTACCTTAACATTATGTAAAGAATATGTGAGGTGTTGTTTACAAAATGAGTCTTAAACATTACCTCTAGTAGGTGACATAGCAGTGATTTAAACAAAAGATCAAAGCATTCTTACTCTAATGATCAAAGATACCTACAAAAACAAAGAAAGCTCTTTTGAAGCTCTGAGCCCATTGTTAAGGAAAGGGTGTAGTCTACGTATAGCGAACGCTTCTTTAAACAATAGGATAGACCGGTTTCGGGAGCTGTCAATAATGTTAGTACTAGAAAATATTAAACCTAATTTATTACTTACATTACAGACGACATTTAAACAACTTAATAATGCTGATGCTCTACCTAAATCATTTATTAAACGTGAGAAAATTAAGAACTCAATTCGTGCAATGACATGTAACTTTCTTGACTTTGATAACCGAAATTTAAATTGTGATGCCAAACGTATTAATACTTTTAAAATCTTACGTAATAAGTATGTAATTCTTAAACCTGATAAAGGAAATGGTGTTGCGATAATGAAGAAAACTGATTATATCACATCTATGACGAACTTGTTCTCTGATTCAACTAAGTTTAAGAAACTGGGTCATTCCGTGCCAACTCAACAAATTTTCAGAAAATCATGGCTGGGTACCGTCTCAGATTTTCTTGAAACTCGGATATAATGTGCACCAACATGTCTGACGAACAAACCCAAAATTTGACTTGCCAATTCCAAGTCGTTTAGAAGTTACGGCCATTTGAAATTTTAGGGTCATACCCCTTTTTAGCTACCAATTATGACATATTTGTAAAGTTGCATTTTCAATTAGCCATATCTTCAAATAGAATAAAGATAATTAACTAAAAATTGATATCTAAACTAACTTTTAGCTGTAGAACAGGAATATGACATGACTTTTGTTATACCGGACCCCGTTACGAAAATATTGGTTCGTAAACACCCTAACTTATTTGGTTGTGTAATTTTTCTTCCATTTTTAGACCCCATTAAAATACCCAAATCAGTTATTAAATGGGTCTTATGCAACAAATTATTAATATATAGTTGGAAATGTTTCCCCACAAAAAATTCCGGATTTTTAACTTATCATTTTAGGGGGTAATCGTAGGTCAAAAGGTCATTCGGGACAAAAAATGCACAAAAATGCCTCATTTTCATGGTGACCTTTGACCCTGTGGGCAAATACGCTTGTTGTTAAAACTTGCACCATTAATTAATTTACATATGATGATCAGATGTTCCAAATATCAGCTTGGTGTCTTTATCCCTTCATGTTTAAAAAGCGATTTGAAAAGGGGTATATTTTTCAATTTGCGACAGTATCAGTGCGTAAATGTGATAAAATTAATTTTTGAATAACGATAATATTAAAAATAATCTGCCTAGACCCTTCAAACTTATAATTCTAAAACAACTTTATGTGCTTATTTCAGTTATGCAGTTCGTTAAGGGATATAGTGTTTCATTAGTAAGATATGTCCCCCCAAAAATGGCCCAAGTGCAAGAATTGCGCAATAAAATTGTATTTATTGTTGATTTCAAATGAGCATAATATTATCCGTGTACTGTCTAGAGCCGTGAAACCTTTCATTCTAGGAAAACTTTTTGTGCTGATTTTAGTTATGCAGTCTGTTAAAGGGATAAATTGTTTAATTAGTAAGATATTATGCCCCAAAAATGGCCCAAGTGCAAGAATTGTGCAATAAAATTGTGTTACGATTGATTTCAAATGAGCATAATATTATCTGTAAACGGTCTAGAGGCATGAAACCTTTCATTCTAAGACAACTTTTTGTGCTGATTGCAGTTATGCAGTTTGTTAAAGGGATGCATTGTTTAATTAGTAAGATATTTTGTCCCAAAAATGGCCCAAGCGCAAAATTGCACTATAACATTGTGCGACTATTTTGATATTTAAAATGAGTATAACATTAACAGTGTACAGTTCAGAACCATGTAACCTTATATTCTAGTACATATTTGTACACTTATTTAATTCATGCAGTTTGTTAAGGGATACAGTCTTTTATCTTACTAACTAATAGTTAGTAAGATAGTTTGCCCCAAAAATGGCCCAAGTGCAACAATCGAGCAATAACATCGTGTGACATTTAATTTAAATGAGCATAAATTTTACATTGTACTGTCTAGAGCCATGAAACTTTTACTTCAAAAACAACCTTTTGTGCTTATTTCAGTCATGCACTCTGGTGGTAAGGGACACAATGTTTAATTATTAAGACATTGGGCCCCCAAAAGTGGCTCTTGTGCGAGAATGGTGAAAAGCACTTATTTCACAATTCTGGGGTCAGTACAATATCTTACTAATTAAAGACTGTGTTCCTTACCAGACTATGTGACTGAAATAAGCACAAAAGGTTTTCTAGAATTAAAGGTTTTATGGCTATATAGACAGTAGTACACTGATAATATTCTGCTCATATTTAAAATATATGTTACTATGCAATTCTTGCACTTGAGCCATTTTTTTGTGCAAAATATCATACTAACTAACCACTCTGTCCCTTAACAGACGTCATGAATTAAATAAGCATACAAATGTGTACTAGAATATAGGTTTCATGGTTCTGAACAGTACACTGTTAATGTTATGCTTATTAATATATCAATATATAGTCGCACAATGTTATTGCGCAATTTTAGCACTTGGGCCATTTTTGAGGCAAAATATCTTACTAATTAAACAATGCATCCCTTTAACAGACTGCATACCTGAAATCAGCACAAAAAGTTGTCCTAGAATGGAAGGGTTTCATGGCTGTCTGACAGTACATGGATAATATCATGCTCATTTGAAATCAATAATATATTAAACACAATTTTATTGCACAATCTTGCACTTGGGCAATTTTTGGGGCAAAATATCTTACTAATTAAACAATTTATCCCTTTAACAAACTGCATAACTGCAATCAGCACAAAAAGTTGTCTTAGAATGAAAGACAGGCTCTAGACCGTTCACAGATAATATTATGCTCATTTGAAATCAATCGCAACACAATTTTATTGTACAATTCTTGCACTTGGGCCATTTTTGGGGCATAATATCTTACTAATTAAACAATTTATCCCTTTAGGGCAATTCCGTAAATTAGTAAACCAAATGGTAAAAAATTCAAATACATCAAATGTGTATGTGTGATACATCATTATGAAGCTAATGAGTTATATTTTTGTGAAATAAAAAAAAAATTAAGAATTCACTTACCACTTGGAAAATAATTGGAATTCAATACAATTAATTAATATTTTGAAATACTAAAGAAAATGTAGTTATAATTTTAATTTCCAATTTTTTCCCTTGCAAAATATCAGAATCTGATTCACTTTTCATTAAAAT